GGAGAATTCAGCCCACCTTCTCAAGATAGTGGAAGAACGCGGAATAACTTGATCCGAAATCTTTTTAACGTTGAAGCTTGGTTTAGGAAATTATCTACGAAATGACTATGTATGTGGAAACGCGACTATTTGTTGAATGTAAATTTCATATATAGATGATGAATATATTGTAAGAATTCTAACTATGAATGTCTCGTAGCTAATATTCAATGATCTTTTCCATTTTTTTCATGTCCTTTTCTTGGTTATGAGCTTATTTATGCCATCATCCGTATGTGATTTTTTTGTTAAAAAATTCAACTAATATAAACGTTGGTAAAGCGATCAATTTGAAATTAAATATTAAGGTGGGGGACTAAAATTGAATGTTTTGAAGATAGTGACAAAATTGAAATTTGGGGCAAAGTTGGGTCACTAATCGTGTTCTGAAATTATTAATATGTAACGTGCAAAGTTTCCAAAATTTCTCATTGATTACTTTGTATTATTGAACAACTATGGAATTTTTGATTGTGCTAAATTAACCATTTTCAAACTACGCGACGAGCTCTGAATGGGGCGTTTACAATTTATTTTGGACGGATAGTAATTTTCCATGACAATCAAATCTTCAAAAGAGTATAGAACTCGACCACGAAAAATGGACATTGACGTGGCCAACAAAGAGCAATCCACGTATATTCCTCTCTGTACACTTAGCACAAAGCTCAGCAGTTCATGGCCATTTCCAGCGATGGTGATTGCAGCCACGAACTCTCCAACAATCAAGTTAGTCAACAATAATTTGCTCAACTAATTTCGATAGCAAAGATCGCTAGACTTTCTATATTATCTCAAGGGAGAGGAAAAATAGTATTTAAGTTGTGAAGTTACATTATTTTACAAAGGTTTAGAACACAAGTATTTATAGAGAAGAAGGTGGAAGAAGAATCGTTGGATAAAGAACACGTGGCTCCATCTGCTAGTTTGAAGTGTCTCTTCGTAGACGTCTATATATCACTCCATAGATGGGCAGGCACATAATGTGACCTTGAAAAATGTGTGATTGTGACTAATTAATTTAATAATTTGTGATTATTAAATAAGTTGTGACCTATAAAATTTCTTATTTGTGATAAATAAATGAGTTGTAACCTATAAATGTTTTGATTCTATGATCGATGAATAAATTGTAACGTATAAAAATTTTGATTTGTAACTGAAACATAATATGCAACCAATTAATCATTAATTTGTGTCCAAATTGTATATATTTTATTAATAATTAATTAGTTCACAAATAAAATTTAATAATATCTTATTTTTGAAATTTTAAACATTGTTTCTTAATTTTGAAATGTGCATAGTTAAACTCTTTGATATGAATTTTTCCCTCTCAAGAATTCAGGCTTAGGGAGCTAAATCTTAATTTTCTGAAATACCAAATTGCCAAAAAATTTAAAACATTCAGAGGCCTAGCCCAATTGGGATAATTGTGTGGGCCTGGAGTATGAACCCCATGACGTCAAATTATACCATCCCGTCATCTTGTTTCCCCCATAGTTACTTTGGGAACGTAGAGGATTTGGAAAACAGAAAATGACATCTCTATCCCATGAAAGGATTCTCGCCATAACATCTACGACCCTACCATTTGGCTTCATGAGTTTGGGTTTAGTTGTATAGCCTCACTCACCACCACGCACCTAAGCCTTAGGTAACAAGCTCGCTAATTAGGATCCGGAACTATAAGACCTGTACTATTTGGGATCTGTAATCCACCCGCAACTTTGTTAAGTCTACGGTCATCATCTTTGAAGGGTAATTAGAGGCCCTCCAGTGTATCGAAGTATCTATTGAGCTATCCACTCTCTTCCATATGATTTTCCTTGACTATAGCCCTAGAACATCATCTGAACCCAACACCATGGGTTCCTCAGCATAGATACTACCAACTCACCCCCATCACTTCATCTGGCATGCCATAAGTCATTTTCCTAAAGCACAAAAAGGAGGGGGTTGTGCCAAATGATTTACCTAAGTAGCAAATATTGTTATTGGAGGGTTACTGAAAAACTTCTCGAAATGCAAGAACTTCGCCGAAATTTGTGTTTGCAGAATGAAATTGTGATTCTGTTTTTACCAAAAGTAAAAAGTCTATACTATGGGGTAAGTTCCTTTTATAGGCAACCCCTATAAACCATCATCGTTGGATAATATCTGGTCTCATCAAGGCCGTTTATTAGGTTATTGATCTAGGCCATTGAGATCAAATATAAAAAATACTCAATGTATGTGATATGGCAACGCAACATATGCACCCATGTGACGCGTCTCCTTGAGCCTCAACAGTCGCTTGCCATGATTAGCAGTGGCAGCTTTTTCTTGGGAGCAAGCGATGGTTCAGCTGTTTTTCTTATAAACATGCAATAGTCTTCAAATCATTGGCACAAATTCCATTTAGAGCATCGTCCTCTTGCAAGACTACGCTTTGGCCATCCAGGTTTTCTTAAAGTTGTTACCATTCAGAGCCTCATCTTCCTACAAGACTGTGCCTGTGCCAATTCAGTTTTTCTCAAAACTGCTATCATTCAAAGCCTTGTCTTCCAGCAAGATTACGCCTATGCCAATTTAGAATTTCCCAAAGTTGCTATCATTCAGAGCCTCGTCCTCCTGCAGGACTACGCCTCTGCCAACTCAGCCTTTTTAAAAGTTGCTATCATCCAGAGCTTCGTCCTCAAGCAGGACTAAATCTCTGCCTATTCAGCTTTTCTCAAAGCTGCTATCATTCAGAGCCTCATCCTCCTACAGGACTATGCCTCTGCCAACTCAATTTTTCTCAGAGCTACTACTATTCAAAGCTTTGTCCTCCTATAAGACAATGTCTCTGCCAATCCAAATTTTCTTAAAATTGCTACCATTTAGAGCCTCGTCCTCCCACGGGACTACGCCTCTGCCAACTAGCTTTTCTTGACTATTGTTACGCCTCTTGTAACGACTTGCCAGGTCATCAGCACAGGTCACGCTCCGAGGTCGAAGCGTCTATGACGAACATCTCAAATTTAATATTTTGTCCGGCAAAGTCTAGGCACTATATAAATATTCATACATGGACTTGGGGGACTATTATTACACCTCCTATAACAGCTTACCAGGACATCAAACACAGGCCACACCTCCGAGGCGCCAAAGTGCCTAGCATACCAGCATAAAGCGAAGTAAAATCCGAAGTGGATAGCATTAGGTATGAAGTCAATACATCAGTGCGAACAAGCCGAGCAGGAATGCCTAGAACATTCGCCCGTTGGTTAGTCCAGGTTCTAGCATAAGATACAAATATTTTAGGCAAGGATCTGTCCAAAATAAAATCTTGTGAATGATAAATGTGACATCTCTGTAGCAGATGCTACAAATCAATAATTTATCGATTACATCACCCAAATAATTGATCACAAACCCTACCTATACCCATCCCACTGCAAAATAGTTGGCACCACCTCCCTACCGCTGGTACCACCTTCAGCTCCACTACCAACAAGAACCACCCAAATCCCAGCACCACCAAAACATTGAAACGACTACCACCACCATTGATCGCACCGCCATTTGAACCCACAATCGTACCGCACCACCAAGCAGCAAAGATCAAACACCCCCACAGAATCAATTGAACCCACTATTGCGTAGCACCGCCATTTGAACCCACCACCAGGTATTGGCAATCAACAATTCCAAATCACTGGAAAGACGGTAAAAACCTATTGACCACCACAAACCACCCCATGACTCCAAAGCATCTATTTTGGAAAAAATTGAACTCAAGGAAAAAAAGAATAATAGATCTAGTGGTATTACTGTAGCAACATGGCGTCGATACTACTACAATGATGAGCACCATTGTTGCTCTTATGTAATGTGGTGCTCCTGCTGCTTTTAGGTTGTGCCTACGTCGGATTGTGATAATGGTTTCTTTGGTACATTCGACAACGACAAAGTAGCATGTGGTGTTTGTAACTAGAAGGGGGGAGAGCGAGAGTGATCAGAGAGAAAGTGAGATATTGTTTATTAGAGAGAGTGTGTGAGTATAATTTAAAGATAGAGTGAGATGTTAGGGTTTTGCTGGAAATTGTAAATTTAAAATATAACATTTACGAGTGTATTTGATTGTTAATATTTTCCACAGAAAATATCAATTTTCTATCTACATTTCTACTTTTGTGTTGTTTGATTAATATTTTTTTGATGGAAAATATTTTTATACTTTCAGTTATATGACCATATTTTCTTTGAAAATAAAGAAAATATTTTCTTTAGAGGGAGTAGGTTTTTATTTTTCATATAATTCACTCTTTCTTCCTCTCTCTTCTAAGGTTTTTATTTTTCATATAATTCACTCTTTCTTCTACTCATTTTCTCTCCTATCATCTACAAATAAAAGATGGACCAAGTATAACATTTTTTAGGTTGAAAATAAAATCAATCAGACACACTTAATTGATAATTTTCATGCAAAAGGCAATTCAATTACCTAGAATTTATTTTCTTGCCTTGTAAATTTCATACTTGCAATTAAACCTATCCTAAATATAAAATATCTTATTTGTAAATAATGGAACTTCCTCTTCATCTTTAGAATATTGATTTTTGAAAATAGGGTGGGACGTAATTTCCATTTCTTGAGATCAGATAAAACCCCAACCAAGTCTTCGATTTTTTTTGGAAGCCCGTCCATCCAAGACCGAATTAATCTCGTGTACAAACTTTGTTCGCAAACTAAGTGTTGACAAAATTTAGATTATTGGTTTCAAAAACTGTTTTTTAAATGATTGGTCTAAATGTTATCAATGCATACGTTGAAAATTAAGTTTGTCAACCTAATTTATAAAGGGGGATGTTGCAAATACACCTTTGATGTACTATGGAGGTGTAATCTATCAAAAGTGTAAAAGTAGAATTAGTTTGTACAACTAGCTTGGTTTCCCAAGACCACCCTTACTACTAAATTGAGTTAATTGTTCCAATCTTAAAATATCGAGTTTTGATCACGAATTTAAGTCAATGTCTTCGATTGCTCACTAAATTTAGGTTCATGTCTTAGATTGCTCACTAAAGTTTAAAATGTTGAGTTTTGACCAATGAATTTTGAAATCTACTATACATTATCGCTACCACAATCATTGAATTTTGAAAAATATCGAATTTAAAATGAGTAATGTATAATATTTTTATAGTTCCATGAGTAATATCCAATATTTTTCATAGTTCTGTGAGTAATATGCAATATTTTTCAAAGTTCAGTGAGTAATGTCCAATATATTTTAAAGTTTAGTGATAAAAAATCGATATTTTAAATTTCAATGAACAATATTTATGAACCTAAGCTTAATATCAAAACTCAATATTTTAAACTCAACAACCAATCAAAGACATAGCCAAGTTTAACCATTGGAACAATCAACTCGCCTAAATTCCTAATCAGATCCTAATTTCCCAATTGTTTAAACCCTAACTCCTAAATCAGACCTTGACACACTGAAAATCGACCTATCTACTCCAAAAATCAGCACTCCGGCGGCATCCGGCAGAAGGTTTGCTCCAACGTACGCTGTCTTGCAATCCGCGGCACAACTGACCTTCATCCTCTGGTAGATTATTGACCTTGTTGCCTGCTCATTTTCCTCGAATTTTTATGTAGTATTGGCATAAATTTTGGCTGGGGACTGGGTTGCATCACTGCAGGTGTGGTCTTATGCATTGGATGATGTTGTGTCTCTTAGAAGGTGCAACAATTGGTTGGATTAAGTGTGGCATGTAGAACAGAATAAAAAAAATAGAAACTAGAAAAAAATTAAGTAGATCTCTGGAAACAATTATTCTCCTATCAGCAAAGCCTTGTACAAACACTTTAAAGTAAGCAAAATCAGTTTTGAAACTATAAAAATGAAGTTTTATATGCATTTCATCATCAAATTCAGGGTGTATTTGAACCCCTTTAAATTTGAAAAATGTATTATGAAATAGTAGATTGATGCAGAATTTGTATTTAAAAAATAAGAAAAAATTTTGGTTTGCGTGTAATATTAATTTAATGAAAAATGTACAGTTGAAAATGAGTACTGTAGAAAAAATAATGTGATAGAATGTAAAATAATGATTGATAAACAGGGGCTCAGTTTCATCTTTGAGATGAAAAAGGTTATGATTAACAAACCAATTATGCTATTTGTACAATTTTATTTGTACAATCATGGATGACAATCTTTGTTGGCATCATCACATCCATCCATTTTTTAAGTAGTCAAAAACTGTTTCTTAAATCATTGGTCCGAATTTCGCCACCTCCAACATTGTCAACAATGTTTGTCAACTAACATTGTACAAATAGTTTAATTCTTAACAAACAATTTAATAAAGCATCCCCTTTTTGTGCCTCATGATTTACTTATTGAGGGACCATGCTTCTACATTATCAAAGTGGAACTGGAGCGTCTCCCTGCTTTGCCATTAGGCATAGCTTTTAACAACTACGATTGATAGTTTTCTGTTAAGTATACATGTATGTATTTATCTGTGTATTTAATCTGATCAATCAATTTAATTCAGGATTTTCTTTACTCATTTTACTTCAGTTTCATCTAGTTTGTGTACTAAGTTTCTCTCTTTCTATTAACTTATGCAACTTTTTGTTGTGACTGCATATTATAGTTATGATGAATAGAGCAATGCCAGAGCAGGTGGTGATTTTTTCTGAGGATTCTTCCCCTGATGCAGATGATGATGTTCAAGAGTGCAAGCAGCCAAATGCAGATTATACAATGGACCAACCTTCCCAGAAATTAACATCTGATGGTAATGAAAAATTATGTGTTGCTGTCGAAATGCAGGTCCGCTTTGGCTTTATTTGTCTCTGCTTCACCTTTCAAACTTTTTTTCCTTATAGCTATTACTGAATTTTATGCACGTATACTGTCAACATAAAAAAAAATCATAAAATTTGCAATTCTCCATGCTGCTGTGGGGAATATATCCTATTGTTTGTTATCTGAAATTTTCTGCTTTCTTCAAGCATTTTTGGGCAGCTCATGTTCTTGTATTCAAAATTTACATCTCCATCCCGGGTTTGAAAACCTCATTTGATATTTAACGATTGATATATGTTCTCTTGATGTGCATGTAATTGATAAATTTCGGTAAAGTATACTGGCAAATTTTGAACTGAATGATGTTTTTACTGAAAAGAATGACAGATACTTGATTTTGATGCCTGTTCATCAATGAGTATGGTTTAACTTATTAGTAACACTTTTATAAGGGAGGCGAGGAAAATCTCATAGAGAAATCTTTCTGTATGTAGTTTCAGGCTTCGGTAGGGATTTCCTCTTTTCTTTTGTTGTGGATGACTGTTGGTTTCAGAATTCCTTAGTAGCTACCGCACCCCGCCTATTTCTTCATTTAAAAACAGCTTTTCGCTTTGTTCAGTCCTCTCTTGCTAGACTGGCTACCGATGCCCATTGGTGGATTTCCCCTATGCACCTAACATTTAGCCCATGTTTGGTACATATTCTTTAAAAATCATTTTTCTCAAACTTATTTTCAATTGATTCTCTGAATAAAATAATTCTTGCACGAGAATCCATAAATTCTCCCAACTTTTTAACCACAAAGGACTGAAAAATATCACTTTTGAAAATATCTATTCTCATAATATCTACATCAAACATGCACTTAATGAACAAATATAAGTTACTTTGAAATAAATAAATAATAATCAAAGGCACTCTTTATATTGTGCTACCCCATGATTACTTCAATTGTTTATAGCTATAACGATCTTTTTTTCATTTTTGTAGCTTGAAGTTATGTTTTTGACAAAAAGGTATCTATTTTCACATTTGTTATAGTAATCTAATAATCTTTTTCCTTCTCTTTGTTGAGTAGGCTGCTATAAATATTTAACTTCTTTAGTATTATAAACTTTTTCTTTAGTATGAAAATATATATTTTTGTCACTTTTTTCCCACACTTTCTGATCAATTTTTTTTTTCCCATTTATTTAAGTGAACATATATGAGTAGCCAAATCTACTCTATCTAATTAATTTCTTGCATAACTGTCTGATTGGGAGACACATTTTTTTGTTAGGTAGGCCACTCCAGATTTTTAATTGATAGAGGAAACAATTTTGTTGGTACTGCACTTTGAATTATATACAATACGTACATATATTCGTAATAAGCTCAATTGTATGTGTAGGAATGCAAATGGCTCGTGTACACATTTGTGCACTTACTGGAATGCATATGAAATTGCAAGCATGGGCATCACATTTTTCAGACGTGGGCTGCATTTGGGTTGTATTTTGTGTACAGAACTTGTATCTATGTAAAGATATTTCCATCCGAGACCTTATAGAGATTCATCTGTCTGTGGTAGCTCCATTTAATGTTATAGAAACTAACATGCATCAAGAGTTCTCTTTCTTCTTTTGCTATTGTCAAATAAAGTGGGCGGTTTCTTTGTTTCCAGGGGAGGGGCTGGAGATTTTCTGATCCCTTGGCATTGCAGCACGAACATGATCCCTGTCGAACAAATTATGTTATTTATAGTCAATGGCAGTGGTTATATGTTAGTTGAACAACCCCCCCCAACCCACACGCACAAAAAAGAAAAAGGAGAAAAAAGGAATAAAAGAAATCCACGTTAAAATGACAGGTTTACCTTTTTTCAGTTTTAATGTGTGTTGGAGGGCTGTATCTATGTATTTAGATGCTAGACGACATCGTCCTCCAAAACTGTGTCGCAAGTCAGTTAAGATTGGACTTGTTTTGTCAATGTCAGCATTATTATTGCTTCAAATATTTACCGTTGTGACTGCTGAAGGCAAAAGCATCAATTGATGTTGTGATCTTTAAGCTTCCTGCATGTTTACCTGTCTTTCATGAAATACAAGATCACAGTTTATTGTGTTCTAATTCATCGAAATACATAAACTGTACTTTGCTATGTAGATTTGCTGCTCAGAAGAGCAGAAGTGTACCAAGAATACATGAACCTGATCCCTGTCCCAACTCTGCGAGGCTCCCTTATTCCCTTTACCTCGTGGATAGGACTGGGCCGATCCATGAAGCAGCTATATGGACAACCTCTACACTACCTCACCAATATTAGCTTAAAACAATGGGATCAGTCCAGGATTGGAGCCAAAAACGAACAAATTCCATTGGATACCTTAATCCATCCTTGTAAGGCCGAAGCCAGCATCTGGCTCATGGAAGAGTTTAACCGACTTACAACATCTCATCATCATCTTGCTAAACTCTGGCTAGCTGATCCCATGCATCATGCTTTGATCGATCCCATTTTTCCCAAGCTGCAACCATGAAGCACAGAAACCAGAAGAGAAGAAAAAGGCGATAATGAAGAAAGGTTTCTCATTGAATATTTCGGTGTAACTTAGATTGAAGTAGCTATTTATGAAATACATGTATATATTTTGCCGGTCTCAAAAGTTTATGCATACTGGTGCATTAATGTGCTAGGACTGGATTTGTATGTCTGCCTGTAAATACATGCTGTTGAAGGTGGTGCTGGTTTTATGAGTTTATATAGCTTAATTATACAGCACTCGAAACAGGATATGTCCAATCGATGTGGCTTGAAATAATATTATAAACTTATGAACATCAGCGTAAGTATTTCTGGTTAGTCGCATAGGAAGCTGGTTCAATGACGTCTCAAGTTTGTAATTATGAACAAATGTTTTAGGTAATTCTTTTAAGTTGGAAAAGATATATATATCTTTGTATGTCTGCCTGTAAATACATGCTGTTGAAGGTGGTGCTGGTTTTATGAGTTTATATAGCTTAATTATACAGCACTCGAAACAGGATATGTCCAATCGATGTGGCTTGAAATAATATTATAAACTTGTGAACATCAGCGTAAGTATTTCTGGTTAGTCGCATAGGAAGCTGGTTCAATGACGACTCAAGCTTGTAATTATGAACAAACCGCATAGTATTATACTGTTTTAGGTAATTCTTTTAAGTTGGAAAAGATATATATATGCACAAATAGTTGAAGGCTGATAAAACATATAAAGAGACGACAAATACATTAATTTGCATGGATAGTTCATCTTCTCAAAAGTCACTGGCTATACTTAGTAGTTATGGGCATTTTCCGAACAAGATTGACCTTAAAAGTTAGCTTTGGTACAAGGTTTCGTCCCTCCTAAGTGCCGATATGGTTACCCTTTGGTTCTTGTAATTGTAATGCAGCCTTTTCCACCTTCAGTTCGAATTTTAGTTTTTCCGACTATAGGCTTCCCAGAAATAGCAGATGTCGGATAAGAAACTGCATGATCTTCATTATTTTCCTCGGATTCTGATGGAGTATGTATCCTCTGGTTTATGTCTTTTAGAGTCACGTCTCCATGCACGCTACACGGTTTAACGAACGCAAATGGATAGACAACAGAGGAGGCTACTTTAGAAGGGGTCTGCATGTATGATTTTCGACCTGATTAATTGAGTATAGTTAAGGGTCAAAAAATGGCACCTACTCATCATAATTAACTATAAGAAGGAAAAAAGTAAAGTAAATACCTTTGAAAACAATGCTTTTACAAGGGCGAATAGGAAGTTTTTGGACTGCACTAGCTTCATATTCAGGAGGGGCGTCAAAAAGCTCTGCAGAAGTACATTGTAGATTTAACGATGACAACGTAGAAAAGGTCGAAAAATTTAAGGATGACGACATTAAACTACTTTCACATACCTGTGATATCATTCTGAACATCAGATGTCCCAGAAACGCTTCTACTGTACACAATAAGCCATTCAGGAAAATAAATTTTTTTCGAGTAAATTGAAGCAGGAAGTTAAAACAAGACGTACATGTCCTCGGATTTATATTGCATCTCTGGATCAATAAAGCAATTGGCAAGCCATCCTTCAGATGACGGGTCTAAGCACTCGTTGCTGGAGGCGAATGTGCCTTCTACGAAAGTATGAAGAATTATTATTCGAAATCCTCTACATAACTATAGATCAGTCCCTATCAATATCCGAATAGAAAAATTTGCAAGAATGGTACCTGTAAATCCATCAACCAACTGTGAAATTTCAGATGAAGCCACTTCAAGAGACTCCGGTGTTTCCTAATCATAGAAATTAATAGCGCTGTATAATCATTATCTATGATCGTTCAAGCTGATGCTGCAGAACTAACTTGTTTACGAGGTTCAACTCACATTGATGAATTATAAAGAGAACGTATTGATAAAGGCCATCCATTTTTTTGCTCAAACTTGATTCACAGATCACAATTTGCTTCAAAAATCATATCTTGACCAACAGGATAACTAATCTAGATATAAAATTACACAATATAAATTTTTACAAATCAACTAGAATGACTTCAAAATGCAAACTCCACGAAATCAGATAATTGACATTTTGTTTACTGTAAAGCAATGCAGAGATAAACACGTTAATAATGAGGTAACAGCATTTCTAGAAGTAGTCGTGCCAGAATTTCAAAATGCTAGACATGAGAATTTTCAACAGAAAAGAACAACCTTTGATCTTAAAAATGCCTCGTATTTACAAAGAGGTGCATCTGAGACTTCAGACTCAAACTGTAGAATTCTCCGCCTTTTTACTTGTGAAGAAGGTTCCCCTCGTTTCTCCAACTCTTTATCGGTAATTTCTGCAGTTTGTGCAAAATGACAAGTAACTGTGTAAGCAGCACTTTCCCTATTACACAGCCTTTGTGTTTTTCGTGTATGAAGCCATTTTGTAACTTCATTTGTTCATGTAAAATGTTTGGCATAAACATATAGTAAGACTTGATTTTGGTGTCGCGTTAACACAAGTCAGTTTCAAGAAAAAATTTTAACTTGTAAAAAGTGTATTTCTTTAGAAAAGATCGACAAATACACAAGATAGAAGTGAAAAAAAATTAGAGACGACAAATATTTATAAGAAAGTAATAGACTACCATAGCTAGTTACGTGATACGCCAAATCTCCACAGGCCTTAACCGGGGTTGTTTCATTGTCAAACATGTAAGAGAGATCTTCGTTTTCATTTACTCCATTCATTAGGCATTCGGGTATATCTGCCCAACATATCAAGACAAGTTCAAGATCAGTAACCTCATTCGATCGTGTAAATTGCAAGGGGTAGATTGAAAACCGCCATAAGACTCACCTAAGCTTGTATTTTCTTCAAGAGAGTAAGCCTGACTTTGCCAATCCCACATTTGACTGTAACAATTTCAGACGGAAATAATTTGATATCTTAAGCTTAATGTGACCAAATATTCCAAAGTGTTGCACACGACCGTATTAACAGCGAGAAAAAATTCTAAAATCTCGTGTAATACTACCTACCAAACATGCCAAACTTGAAATTCAGAAGAACAATCATTATATGGAAAATATCCAAAATGCAAATCTTTGAACATGATAATAAAGAAAAGATACCGGCAGAGAATTCGACACAAAAGAATGCAGATCCAGCAAACAAATTTATTAACACAATCTCAAGAACAGATTAACTCCAGATTAAGCACTTAAACAGATCAAATCCAGTCATTTAAAGCAGAAATTTTGGCAGGCATATTTAGCAAATTATTAAGATCACACACAAGAAGGATCACAATCTATCTCTAATTTGCTCGTCGCATTGAAACAGATTTGAACAAAACCAGCAAGCAAAACACAGAATTAAGCACAAGTTATTTGACATAACAGCATTTCATTTCATAATCCAACAATTTTATTTTTTAAAAGCGTAAAAAAAAATCTGCATTTTCTGGCATTTACCCATCAACAAAAATCACAAAAGAAGTATGGTAAACAAATAAAAAGAAAAATCCCATAAATCAAACTTCAAAACAAAGACAAAAATCAATTAAAATTTAAGAAACTGAAGTCACCTGTCATTGTTGTAGTCCATTTTCTCTGAGTTTGTCCCTAAATTTAACTAAACAAGAGCAGGAAAAACGGAAAATGACAGTAGCGTTCAATAATCAAAAATATCTATTACGATGGATTTATATATTTAAGTTGATGTGAAGGTATAATGTAATCTGCGGACGACAGACCCATTAAATGAAAAATAATAAAAAGACCGGTGGAAACAACTACCCTTTAATCGTGCAAATTATGTGCTGGTGACTGAATTTTCAATTGTGGTAGATCTACATCACAATTTAGAAAATTGTTTATGAATAGATGATGTCGCGAGATTTGATTGGATCAATCAAAAAAATAGGGAAAAAAAATCCTATATCATTTTTCTACACGTCATCTATTGTGAAATATTATATAAATCATGATGTACAATAAACAATTTTTATGGGTTGACTTGTAT